GCCGTATTTACATACAAGTCACATGAAGACCTGAAAACACCTCATTCGGTTGGAAGTGGGCTTTGAGGACTAGTGATATAGGATATATCTTAGGATTGTAATGAGTTTCTTTTGGAATTTGTTACATTGATCTTTTATTAATGATAATATATATTATTTTTTGGACAACAATTTCTCATTGGAAGTATTTTTTATATTTCTTTTACAAAATATTTGTGCATTCCGACGGCTTTTTACTCTTGATAATCACAATAAATGTAGTCAGAAAAACATTTTTTTCGACACACTTCCATGTCGGAAATGCACAATTCCGACAAATTATATTTATCACAAATAATAATCTAGAGTCGGAAATACTATTTTCGACCAATAGTCACTAGTTGAAAATATAGCACATATGTATTTGCGACCATATTTATGGTTGGAAATGAATTTGTATAGTTGTTTTGAAAATCCATTTCCGACAGAAATATAATCAATATCGACGAAACATGGGCGTTGGAAATAAATTATTTCCGACGGACTGGTCGGAAAAAAAGTATTTCCAACAGGCGTTTTTCCGACGGCTTTCGACAGCAAAATGCCGTCGGAAAAGGGTATTTCCGACGGCAGAAGGCCTTTTTCGACCACAAACCGCCCTCGCTAAAGGCATTATATTTTGTACTTGCAAGTCTCACTTGTGGGCGTTGGTATCATTTGTTCCGCTGCGTGTACTCTGAAGCCTCACGGGTTTTGAGGTGAAGAGAAGGCTGACTTAGGTGGAGTCTAAGTGCCGGACAAGGGTCGAAAAATTAAAGGCGTTTTTCACCCCTGTTACAGTAACCATGGCGTCATTTTCTGTACAGTATATATATGATGGCAAACCATGGCTAGATATATAAGTAACTAATTACGAACTATATATATATATATATAGATAGATATATAGAGTAAGCAAACCATGGCGTCATTTTCTATACATCATATCATACAGTAAGCATTCCTACTTTTTTATTGGTTATGCCTTTTCCTTATTTATTTATTTATTAATTGTTGGAAAAGCAAAAACACCTTATAACCCATGGACTTCGAAAGAGAGCAATATGCTGTTAGAACTAATGGTTGATGTTGCTAACCGTGGATAGCGCGATTCTAATGATTTGCCAAACAAGAAAATAGTAGAAAGCAAGATACTTCCTGTTCTTAATGCAAAACTTGGATGCCAAAAAACTTATCTTTAATATCAGAGCCGTTTGAAATGGTTTAAGACAAGATATCATAGTTTTACTCAGCTTATGCATCATTGTTCTGGATTTGGGTGGGACTCCGTCTCAAAGAAATTCACAACTACTGAAGAAGTATGGCAAGATTACTTTAAGGTTAGATTTCAATTTTGTTAAATATTACTCTACATTGATAACTTTCACACTTTATGCATGTTATTAATTTTTTTTCTTCTATATTTTTGGTTTTTGCTAGTCCCACCTAAGTCAAGTGCATCTTCAAAGAGAAACATTTGCAGACTATGAGGATTTGGTAATTGCAATTGGCAATGGAACGACTACTAGGAAAAACTCAATTGGACTTGGTGATGATACCGATGCTAAAATGTATGAAGTTGGAGAAAGTAGACTTACCAGATTGCAGGATACCAATGAGGCATTTGTACCAAGTTAAAATGAAACACCATACCAAACTTTGTCATCTGGTAATTTTACTTCATCACCTTTTCTAGACACAAATTTGGAGGCTCCATTAGAAAAGCTCTCTCCAAGAAAGAAACCTAAAACCGAGTCTAAAGAAAATACTAAGTTCAGTTGAAACCATAACTCGAGAACTGGTAGAAAAAAATTTATGTGGGCACGTATTCAATTGCTGCAATTACCACTAAAATTCGAGGATTGCATAGCCTAATGGAGAAAAGAGAGAAAGAGAGAGAGAAAACCAACAATGTTTAGGATGCTATCGAGAAGACTCCAAACTTCGATAGTCGTGCTTGTTACAAAGCGCTTGGGCTGGTTCATAAGTTGGAATGAAAAATGTGTTCCTAAAAATGTTACTTGAAGAGCGCTCAGAATGGATACTATACAATATGGAATGAGTGTGGTTCTTTGAGATTATGTTTACCATTTTAGATTATGTTGAAATTTTGGTTTAAACTATTTTTATAACTTTGGTTTGGAAGTATTTACCATTTTGGAGAAGTGTTGACTTTATTAGTTTGGAATTTATTCAACTTTGGTTTAGAATGAACTATTTGGTCCTATTTATTGTCTTACTTGTGAGTATTGCTTGTGTTTTATATGCCTTTATGCTTTTTCACTTTTGTCTTTTGGTCCAGAATGAACTATTTAGTTACTATACATGTTCTTAGTGGATGGGAGGGTTCAGCTCATGATTCCAAAGTGTTAAATGATTCTTTATCAAGGAGGAACGAACTTAAAGTGCCACAAGGTACCTATTTATTTAATTTTGTCTATATTAGGTAATATTGTAAATATTAATTGGACTTATATCGCATATACAGGTAAAAATTTCTCAGTGGATTGTGGATTCCCAAATCAACGTCAATTTTTAGCTTCGTTTCGAGGTGTTCGATATCATCTTCTGGATTTTGTCGGTCAAGGTCGTGATCCCTAAAATACAGTCGAGTTGTTCAATCTTAGATATGCTTCCTTGAGAAACGTAATCGAGAGAATATTCGGTATATTTTAGTCATGATTCACAATTTTTAAGTCTGCCCCTCCATTTCCATATAAGACACAAGTAGAGTTAGTCTTAGCTTGTGCAAGGTTGCACAATTTTCTGCGCAAGGAGTGTCATTTTGATGAATTTCCTATTAAAAGAAACAACGACCATTCAACATTGTCATCATTACCAGAAAGTGAAGGAAATAATTATGACCAAGTTTTTCAAACCCAAGAACAACAATGCGTGAATGCTAACCAATGGAGGGTTGGAATATCTTCAAATATGTGGAGAGATGCTATGAATGACGGGAGTTAAAGATAATCAATGAAGCAGATACTTATTTGTTTTTATGCATTTATAATTATAATTTACTTATCATTTTTTTGGTCATGAATTAACTTTTATGTTTTTACTTATTTTTCATAAATATGCAGAAATAAATCCTTATTTGGTTGCACATTTGAACAAAACATATACTTTTTTTTTTCTTTTGATGTATACTGTTTGGACGTTCTGTTTTTGTAAAGGTAATTTTCTATTTTGAAAATATGAGAAAACAATAAATAGCCCAAAGAAAAGGGAATTTTTTTTTTTTGAACTCTAATCAACTTAGGAAATCAGTCAAACTCTATGTGGAATTTATAGAAATCAATTGAAATATATTGAACTCTATAAACTTAAGGAGGATTTTATTGGCACCCCAAAATTTTCTCTTTGCACCCCACATTCTCTATACACCTCATTGAATTTTAGTAAAATTTAAAATTACTCACTACACCCCATTTTCTTCATAAATTACCCTCATGAACCCCATTTCTTAAATTACCTTGTTTCAGTGGGAATCCACCGAATTTGTTTCTATTTTTCAGTGGCTGTCCACCGAATGTGTTTTCATTTTTCAGTGGTAGTCCACTGAATCTGTTTCAGTTTTTCAGTGGTAGTCCACCGAATTTGCTTCCGTTTTTCAGTGGTAGTCTACTGAATTCGTTTCTTGTTTTAGTGAATTCGTTTTTTGTTTCAGTGATCATCTACCAAATTCGTTATTGAGTTTGTACTTAGTATTGTTTTTTAGATATGAAGAGGACTCACCGAGGTAAAATTATAAATTTGTTATGACTTCAACTTTTTCAATTTTGTACTTTTTACTAAGGCATTAAGTTCAAATTCTTTGCTGGATATGTTGTCCTGTACTAGGCCGCTCGTGGCATTAGGGGAATTAGTTGCATTGCGTACAAGGCCTTTCCAAGTTTATCAAGCAGTTGAGACCCTGCAGCAGATTTTAGAGGGTACAAACATGCGGTCTACCATGACATGTCAACTTCGTCATGGTTAACTGACTTGCTAGCATGCGTCTATTAGAACTCATGAAACTTTTGTTGTTTTGATTAGTTATTGGATGTTTGTATTAGAACTCATGGAACTTTAGAACTTTAGAACTCATTCAGACCCTTATGAAGTTTGTCCCACCAAAAAAGGAATATAAGGAAATAAGTAGAATTATTAGATTTATAATCTCAATTCTGTAATGGGTGCATTTTCGTCAGTCATTAGGATGACCGTATCTATAGCATAGCATATAAAATTAAACTATATAACGTAAACAAATAAATTCATACCTGGATATAGTGATCATCATCAACAAAACCAATGGCAATCTAGCGTAGCTTGGTTTCGCTTGATTGAACTGAGAAGGGAAGAAATGTAAGGCATTGACACATGCTTAGAAGAATTAAAACCACATTCTAACATGTGGCCATAATATTTCCCATATCAGACATGGTCCCGTCTCAGAACCAAAAACACTAAAACCTGATCCGGCAGTTTTGGCCAGTATACATGTGCCTTTCTTAGACTCAAAATTTCCTACTCCAACGGTCAACTATTTCAGTCATGCATTATATTCAATAATTAATATCTGAGAAATAATTAATTTGACTTAGTATTAAATACGAAGTCAATGCCCCTCTCTAAACCTTGTAGCTTGTAATGGATCCCATAAAAGAGATGGAGCAGGACAGGTGGCCCCTTGTTATTGGTCGAAATATGGGATACTTGCTAAGTAATGTCTTGCTTAAAGATCCCATCTGTAACCTGCAAGACAGGTAGAAGGAGATTAAAGTCGGTGCACGAAATTCATAATAAACTATATATATATACACTGTCAATTTCATAGATACAGCTTCATACAGAAAAGCTCATAAAGATTTCTTCAACCATTTGCAAAAGCAGAATGACGGTATAAGACAACTTCTGTTTCTGCTCTGTTTCTATGCTTTTTTTTGGGTAACAAATGAAATGAAGTTGAGATGATATTATCTGACTATTGATTACAAAACCACTTTGACATGATGCTTTTCAATTCTCAGACAGTAGAGATGAGAGTCCATATGGACTGCCCCGGATGTGAGAGCAAGGTTAGAAATGCCCTTCAAAAGCTAAAAGGTATATGTACACCATTAAGATAGTAAATTAGAGGGATGAAAGAAAGGAGAGAGATGGAAGAGTGCAAGAGGAGGGAGAATAAGTAAAATTAGAAATTCAGGTTCTACATTTTTGTTCCTGATGTCCACATCTGGGTTGCAGATCGACTTTCTAGCTCTGTGTTTTGATTTTTGATTTTGTTACCTTATTATCTTAATGGTTTGCACTTTGATTTGGATTAGGTGTGGACAACGTTGATATAGACATGGCCATGCAGAAGGTGACGATCACCGGATGGGCTGACCAGAAGAAGGTTCTCAAGACAGTCCGGAAGACTGGTCGTAGGGCTGAGCTCTGGCAGTTCCCCTACAGCGCAGACCACAATAACTTCAGTACAGATCAATATTATAATCAGCAGTGCAATGGCCCACTCAACGACTATGCACCTCAGCCTTCATCATGGTACAACTACTACAAGCATGGCTACGATGGCCCTTCTCATGGCTATTCTCAAAATCCTGCAAATTCCACTAGTGCTTATGGCTATCAAACCACTGCTGCCTTTAGTGATGAGAATCCTCATGCTTGTTCTATAATATGATGATATTTAAGTAAATGTTTTTCCATTTTTTGGAATAATTTGATGCATCAAAATATGCAATTAATTACCTTATGATCTGTGTTACAATTTTATCGATGCACTTTGTTGTACATTTCATGATAAAATACTTTCAATTGTTCATGTAAAAGGATCTATTTTCAATTTTGTCTTTAAATTTTTCCTTCACACAATTACGTAATTAACTCATTTTGGAGTTGTTTCATTCAAAATCAATGCGAGCTATTAAGTACCTTTTTGGTAAGAAAATGTAGACATTGCAGGCACTTCATCTAGCTACTGAAAACACCCAAAATCTCAAGCCTTAATCCTTTCTTTATTCTCATTTTCTCTTAGCTCCCACGCCACAAGCCTATCATGCAAAGCATAGTAGTAACTTGTTTCACCAAAGAAAACTCTCATGCCAAGCCTGTGCAACATCAATGGACCATCTCCAACTCTTCATTTAGTTGTTGGAAACATTAGCACAAAACACGAAGCCGCTGGAAGAAGAACAAAGTAGTCCCCTAGGACATGCTTCTCCCTCGAGATGCTTTGGGCCTAGTTCTCTCTAACTCAAAAAAAGTGGCAACAAAGGCTTGATTCACCACTCTATAGCGGTCCAAGAATCAACAAGCCCGGACAAGCCTTCCGAAGGAAAAAGACCCCAACACAGGGTAAAAAAGTTTCTAAATTCAAAAGCTTTTTGAAAAAGTAGTTGTAGTTTTTCAGCTGTTATTTACTAGCTTGGCATCAAAGTCTCCGATCAAACAACACTTCAATTAAATCCGACCGTTACAAGGAAAAACCATCATATAGAGAAACCCCACCGACTTTATTTTCTCCTCATAAAACCCCAAATTCACTTACTGTTCTTATACAATAAATCACCAACCCCACCCGCTGATTCTCAGAGCTAAATTTATTTTTAAAATTTAGAATCATTCTTTGCAAATTCAATTTGATTGTTCAGAGTATTTGTCTCACATTAAAAAAGTTAAGGGACTCATCATGAGTTATAAGGAATTCGAGTACTCCCCCTATTGTCAATTAATTTTGGGTGTGAAACCTTAACTTCATTCATTGATGATATTTCTCCATTTGCTCACTCACACATCGCATTGCCAACAACTGTTTTTTTTTTTTTTTTTGGAACACATCCTCATCATGTTTGGACATGCCAAACATACTTATTTTTCATTTTTTCAAAGGACTTGATGAAAGTTTTTCCCCTTTCTTTGTACGCCTCTTATTTTTCATTTTTCTTTAATATAAATGATAGTCTAAACTATAAGGGAAGGGGAGTTGCTCACACATATAAACTACTAAGATGTCATGGGGTTCGAACTTGAGACCACTGGTCTGCAAATCAATGCCCTTTTTCACTAGGCTGCACCTCGTTGGCTAGTTTTACTTTCTTTTAAGTTTTAATGTTAGGATTTTTTTGTCAAAGTTAGGAAGGGGGAGGTAGGAGATACCATGGGAGCTTGAACGCAGGACCACTTGGGAGCACACCAAAGGTATGAGGCAATCCAACTAAACACCCAATTGGTTAATGTTAGGCTATTGAAAGTTTTAAAATGATGATTTTTTTAGCAAAAATGGCAGAAAGTATTTTTTTAATCAATGGGGAGGGGAAATTCAAACTTTGAATGTTTGAAATATTGGAAAGATAAATACCACAACACACTAAGAGCCTTTTTTTTTTTTTTTGGTTTGGTCAACTAGACTAACATTTTTGGGAGTGCTTCTAGAGGGGCTCAAAACACTTTATGACAGCCAAAAGCGCTTCTCTGACTGCATTTGGTTGGAAAATTAAGGAGTAGTGTTTTTGAATCTTAGAATCACTTTCTAAAGAAGCACTTGTTGTGTGCTTCTTCAAGAAGCACTCTCAAGTGCATTCCTAGGAAGTAGTTAAATTTATTATGAAAATTTTAACCATTTTGTAATAAAAGTTACAAGCGCTTTATAAATAGAAGTGTTTCTTAAAGAAGCAGTCTCAAATGAACCCTAAGAACTAGTTGATGGCCACAAAGTTTTTTACTTAATTGAAATCGCAAGATATAACTTTTTTGAATTTTAACTATATGTGTAAGCTTGTGTAAGGTCACAATCAAACAAACAATTTTGACCAGAGGGATAGGTAAATTTTCTTTATATTTTTCTTTAAAAGTATTGCTTTGAACAAAAAGACTTTTGTATCTCGAATGAATGTGAGGCCATAATGCTCTGACGATTGAGTGTTATATTACCAAGACCGAGATGATCTTGGGGCCATTCTCATGTGCTAAGAATTTTGGTTGGTTTAAATTTTAAAATACTTAAAAGTTATTATTATTTGTGTTATGGTCAAAGGAGTGGGGGAATTTTGAACTTGGGATATTTTATGGTTTTCTTCAGCAATTTTTCATTTCTATTTCTCATAAAAAAGAATTTATAAGTAATTTTTTTTAAAAGAGAATGTTTAAAAAAAAAAATTACATAAAGTAATTTTTTTGGGTATTGAAAAAAAAAATTGTCTAATGCACCCATAATTATTTGCAATATTTCATTCCCATTTGCAAATTGGTGTTAATAGTGTAATTGGTATCTAGGTTTTATGTAATTACTTTGAGCAAAACATAATTTTTTTTTTAAAAAGTTCATCTATATTGATATTACCCAACTCAAATTTTCTTGTCAGCCTGTAATTAGCACCGTAATATCACAGTCCTAATCCTTGTGGGTTAAAAATGAAAAGTTTCTAAATTCAAACGTGTTTTGAACTAGCACTAGTTGTAGTTTTCCAGCTGTTATTTAGTAGTTTGGCGTCCAAGTCTCAGATCAAGGGAGCCCCACCGACTTTATCCACCCGTTGCCCTTGCTAAGGGCAGTTACTATTCATTTTTTTGTTTTATTCACAATTTTTTTTACCTCAATAATTAATTTGGATAATATTTTAAGATTAGATTTTAGGGTTCCTACATGTCAATACTATTCATATCTCATAATCGGATAAAATTTTCAATTTCAAATTTGAAATAAATTTTAAAAAAATTGGCTGGTATTTATAGAAAAAAATTCATTAATTTTTGGGTATTTTTTTAAAAAAATTTCGAATTTTTTCCAGTATTTTATTGCAAAAAAATTGGCTGCCGTTGGATTTGAGGAAAAAATCAGATCGGAGAGCCCAGATGACGCCACATGGCAACAGGGAAAAAAATCAAATCAGTGGGGGTACTGTAGCAGTACTGTAGCGGTACTGTAGCGCTGACGTCAGCAGCCTGAGTTTTGGACCTCGGGTTGAAGCTGCCTTCGGGCAAGCCTGAGTTGGTGGGTCCCACACCCCCCCCCGGCCTGGGCTGCTCCACTGGAACACAATATTTTATTTTTTTTCCCCTAGCCTTGGGCTAGGCTCATGGATGGAAAGGCTCTTATAAAACCCCTATTTCACCTTCCTTTTTCTCACTGTTGTTATAGTAGAGAGAGTCCAAGAAACACTAGGGCTGTGAATTTTGTTGTGAAGAAGCTATCAATCATGAAAAGAAAGGCAGAAATAAAAGTAGAAGTAAACATAAAGAAGCAGAGGAATTGCAGGCGTAATCATGGAGTGAACTGGGTAAGAGGAAAGCTGGTCGGAAGAGGAAGATATGGGTCTGTTCATCTTGCCACTTCCACGAAACCCATAACACGGTTTTGTCGTAGGCCTGAAATTATGGTGGTGAAATCGTCTAATGGGGTGCCGTGTTTAAGGTCTGTCCAGCATGAGGCAGAGGTGCTCATCAAACTTAAGGGCTGCCCTTCTGTTATTGAGTGCTATGGTGGACAATTCACGCCGATGAGAATGGTGAGAAGGTCTACAATTTGTTCTTGGAATATGCCTCTGGCGGAAGCCTTGATCATCTGATCAAGAAATCCGACGGTTGTGGATTGCCGGAATCTGAGGTTAGGTGGTATACCAAGTCAATTCTTGAAGGGGTTAAGCACATTCACCAGTGTGATTATGTTCACTGCGATTTGACCCCAGAGAACATTCTGCTTGTGCCTACCACCACAAGTTGTGGAAGTACTAGTTTGGTGGCAAAGATAGCCGATTTCGGATTGGCTAAGAGAACAAAAGAAAATGTCGGTGGATCTGGATGTAGAGGCTCTCCAATGTATCTGTCCCCAGAAGCTTTGCTTGACAAGTTGCAGGATCAGCCCTCTGAAATTAGGTCTGTTGGTTGCATTGTGCTTGAGATGCTCACCGGGAAGCCCCCATGGGATACGAGTTATTGTTGGAAGCCTCGGGATTTCCTGAACAAGCTGGTTTTTGACTCTCCCAAGATTCCAGCTAAAATCTCAAAGGAGGGGAGGGATTTTCTAAAGATCTGCCTGGCCTTCAATCCCTGTAAAAGGTTAACTGCAGAAGAGCTCTTATCTCATCCGTTCGTTGCTCAGTCAATACCACCAGAAGAATATAATGGAGCTTCACAATCTGATACTGCAAGTGTAACTTTGAGTTCAAGCAGTGAAGAAGTGACTCTGCTTTGATGTTATAAAGTGATCAGTTCAAGTTTGTAAGGGTAGAGACTCTACAAAATTTCTGTGTAATGATCCTAATTTCTGTCCTTTTATTGAAATATAATTAATTACTGAGATATGATTCAAAAGTAGAAAAATGATTAGCATTTGTAGCAGAGGGGATTTATTCAAGAAATAATTTTTTGGATTTGTTTGAATGGTTTCTAAGATCTCTCTCTCTCTCTCTCTCTCTCTCTCTCTCTCTGACAAACAGTCAAATCTGATGGAAACTAAGAATTGCACTACTCTCCTGTTCAAATTTCATTGTCCTGCTTCATATAGTCAATGATCAGTAAACCACCAGAAGACAAGGACACTGCAGCAATCTGGCAAACCAGAGAATCCCAGTAGAAGTAGCACAACAGAAAAACAGCTTCTGGTTCCCCTGAGCCAAGCTAAATAGAAAACTCACTATTATCTTCTATTGGAATGTCACCTTTTCCATTATAATCAGCGCCTTGAGCCAATTATTCTCCCAAAAATATCCTTAAGGAAGGCTTTAGGTGTTATCTCAGCACAACACTTAGAAGGGAGTGTTAGTTTATAAGTGCAGCTGCTGAGATAGTTTATTATTTTCCATTTGAAAATGTAGCCGTTGGATAACAGTCCAACTGTGCAGTCAGGATGTAACTGTGCATGCCAGGTGTCTCTATCTCATAGGGTAGTGAATGAATGGCTGATCTGTAAATGATGTAATAGGAATGTTCCAATTCCTAACGGTTTTGTCAGAAGCAATATACGTATGATTTGTGTGGGAGCTGAGCTAATATTCTGCTAGCTCTTCTTCTTCCCTAAGCTCTCTCTCTCTCATTTTCTTCAGATTACATTTTCTCATCTAAGAGTTAAAATACAAGATAATAGTCTATGTATTCTAACATGGCCTCAGAGCCAGGTTGGATTGTTTAGCTGGGCGTTTTGAATCTGTGAAGAAAGGAAGCTGCGTTTTGAAGCTGTGTGTGAAGGTCTGCGTCTACCATGGCTGGATCTGGATCTGGAGGCGAGGTGAGAGCGCCAATCTTCAATGGAAATAATTATGAGTTTTGGAGCATAAAGATGAGAACCATCTTCAGGTCTCATGGATTATGGGATCTGGTTGAAAAGGGCTTAGAGTGGTCAGATTCGAAGGGAGCTGATGAATCTGGTGAAAAGAAGAAGGAAAAGGAAGAATCAAAGGGAGCTGGTGAATCTGGTGAGCAGAAGATGAAAAGGGATGTTTTCAAGTGGTTCTGGAACAGAGAAGCTGATGAAAGATGCAAAGGCATTGGGGCTGATTCAAGGGGCAGTATCTGATGAGATTTTTCCCCGGATCTCTCATGAAGAAACTTCTAAAGGAGCTTGGGATCTCTTGATGCAGGAATTTCGAGGTGACAAACAGGTAAGAAGTGTGAAATTACAGAGTCTGCGTAGGGAGTTTGAGTACACTAGAATGAGAGATGATGAATCCTTGTCTGTCTATATTACCAAACTATTTGATGTGATTAATCAAATGCGTAGCTATGGAGAAATACTGCCTAAAGAAAGAGTAGTACAGAAATTGTTGATTAGCCTACCATCTGCTTATGACTCTATCTGCTCCGTTATTGAACACTCGAGAGACTTGAATGAGATTGAGGTGCAGGAGGTTGTAGCCTCACTAAAGAGTTTTGAGTTGAGATTAGATAGACACTCTGAAAACAAAACAGAGAGGGCATTTGCTAGCCTTAGTGTAGATGCTAAACCGATTAAAACTGG